ACAGGTCTGCAGGTTTACAGGTGTATAAACAGGTCTGCAGGTTTGCAGGTGTATAAACAGACATCAGTACTGACCTGATGGTGAGGTTCTCCATCACCTCGGGGAACGTCTCCAGTTCAGCTTTGAGCTCCTCAAAGGTGATGGAGCCGCTGTTGTCCTTATCGGCGGACTCAAACAGAGCCAGTGTGAGGTCATCCAGCTTCTCCTCCGGCAGTGAGATGGCGCTCTCACGCAAACATGACTTCAGAACCGTTTTCAGCTCGTCTGGATCTATTGAACCGCTGCCTGTTTACAGAAAGCAAAAAGGATTAAGTGAAACTGCCCCTTCGCCTGGCGGGCTGACGATGATACCCCATCAGCCTTTTACAGAGTTATAAAAATGAAACATGGCCACAAAACTGATAACTGACCTCTACCTGCTTCAGGACGTCAGCTATCTCTTATCTACAACTGTTAGACAGACTGAAACATTTGAAAATAACTCTTGTTGTAAATGTTGTAAATGTTGATGCATGAGCGAATGCTGACCATCCACGTCGTAGACCTGGAACAGGAAGCGGAGCTTGTCGGTCTCGTTGCCGTGGATCAGGAGGTCCAGAGCTTTGAGCAGTTCATCCAGGCTGATGGAGCCGCTGCCGTCTGAGTCGAACAGTGCGAAGAAACGCTCAGCAAAGAAAGACTGCGAACAATTAGAGGACACGAGTTATTGAGGCCCATTTCAGGTGTTTTTTCTAAACTGCTCACCAGTCCATTCTCACCTCTTTGACCTTGAGAGCTGTTTTGAACTCTTCCAGGTCAATCTCTTTGTCCTCTCCGGCGATGGTCTCAAACTGTTTGGTCACCCACTCCAGCCAGCGGGCGTCTTCGTCCAGACTCATGGTGACCAGCTTTGCTGCTGCAGCTGGTGGGGACAAGCCAGCAAGCATCAAACCTAGCTTTTTGTTTTGATCTGCCTGTTCATGTAATCCTAATTACTCTTCTTCCAACAGAGCGAACATGTGTTAACAGACCTCTCTGCACTGAATCATACCTGTTATTAACCTCTGTCTCTCTTCCACAGCATGTCTTTATCCTGTCTTCCTTCTCTCACCCCAACCAATCACAGCAGATGGCCCCGCCCCTCCCTGAGCCTGGTTCTGCCGGAGGTTTGTTCCTGTTAAAAGGGAGTTTTTCCTTCCCACTGTCGCCAAAGTGCTGCTCATAGGGGCTCATATGATTGTTGGGTTTTCTCTGTATTATTGTAGGATCTACCTTACATTATAAAGCTCCTTGAAGCAACTGTTGTTGTGATTTTTATAAATAAAACTGAATTGAATGAATCTGAGTTGCTCTGCTCTGTGAGTCTGCTGAGTCCCTCTGGGATTGATGGGTCCCATTTGAATCTCCTTTTACGTGTTTTATTAGCTCATATTATTACTCAGGTTGTCTCATTATGCTTAGACTTGGTCAGAAATTCTTCTTGTCACATTTTAAAGGGTGAAACTCGTCCTGGTCCTTATTGTGTCACGGCCAGGCGGATCAGCTGCACGCTGATCAGCCCTCTCTGTTTCTCTTCCTCTTCTCTCTCGCCGGGGCGGAACTCACTGTGGGTTCATGCCCCACGCCCTCGGGAGATGAGACACCTGGGTCTCATTAAGGGGAGCAGCATTTAAGCCAAGAGGTGACTGCTGTTCGTCGCTGGATCGTTGTCTACCACGCGTTAGTGAAGTCAAGCTACAGTAAGTTTAGTTAAGAGTGTTTTCCTCTGTGCGTCGTTCTTAACCCTGTCTCCCTGTCTACAGAGCTTCCTGGATTTTCCCCCGTGTGATTCCCGTGTGTCGGAGTGTGAGCCTGTGATCGTGTGAGTGGATAATCTGAAGAACGCGTGCTTTCCCCTGGACTTCCCTGGGGACCCCTTCTCCCCCCACTCAGCTGTATATAGCACCCCCCGCACATTCTTGTATATACACCTGGTGACTTGTAAATAAATCCTTCTTGTGAGCATCAGAACTGGAGTCCTGCGCTTGAGTCCTCCTCCAAACCATAACATATTGTCCTTGTCGAGACGCAGGGACATCTCTTCAGGGTCAACAGTGTTAACGAATTTAAGATGAAACCAGGTCGTGCAGAAATTCAAAGAGAACGAGAACCAGTTCAGAGTTTCACAAACCCTTTCCCGCATCTACTGTCACAAATGGACAACTGTACCCTCAAACACACAATAATAACATGGACTGAACCACCACTCACAACCATCAACGTGTCTTTTAGACCCCATTCCTACAAAACTGCTCAAAGAAGTCCTGCCATTAATTAATTATTCGATCTTAAATATGATCAACCTATCTCTAATGATCGGCTATGTAC